CGCGGACGCCGCCAGGTCAAAATCGAGTTCGAACTGCTCTGGGGCGAGTTCGAACGCGAGTTCGAACTGTGTCACCGCCAGTTCGAACTCGAGTTCGAGCATATGGACCGCGAGTCCGGACTCAGAAAGCTTGGTTTTTTTTTCCGGGGGGGGGGTTCCAGTTCGAGTTCGAGTTCGAGCGGGGCTCACTATGACCATTTTCGAACTTCATGCAAGCACACAACATACGCATGACCACCACAAGTGTAGAAGCACATTTCCAAAATGGCAAAGCCGAAAAACATGGAGACATACTGCAAAACATGTTGACCAAATATGACAAGGAACACCCAATCAACACGTATTCGGATTTGAAACATGGTCTATGGTGGTGTGTTCAAGCCAAGAACGCATACAGCATTCGCAAGGGGTACGCCCCTGAAGTGCTCGTCCTGGGTAAACATACCAGATTACCCGGATCAGTATGCAGCGATGAACTGCTACCGGCACACATGTTGGCCGATGCCGATACTGCTCAGGGAGTGCAATTTCGATTGCAACTGGCACGCCGAGAAAGTGCACGCCGTGCGTTTGTGCAAGCAGACAACGATGCAGCCCTCCGCAAAGCCATCCTCCGAAAATCAAGGGGTACCCCAAAATCCTATGCACCTGGGGAATGGGTAATGGTTTGGCGGGAAGGTAAGGGGGCTAATCCAAGTCAATGGGTAGGGCCCATGAAAGTTGTTGTCCATGAAAATGCACAGACCATTTGGGTCACTATGGCAAGCAAGTTGCACAGAGCAGCGCCCGAACATGTCAGGCCAGTTTCAGCCATGGAAGCCAGAGACATAGTGATCTTTCCGAATGAACCATCAATATCCATCATTGCACAACAAATTCCACGAACCAATATTCCACAGCCAATTCATAATCCCATGCCTGACATGTCACTGCCTGATTCCACTGTAGTAACCCCTTCAATAAATGACCCCAGTAACAACGGTAACCCTAATGTGTCAAATAACCCTCACTTGAATAATCCCGATGATGCATCCGAACAACAGCCTGATGCTGAACCCGGCGAAGCCAGTAACAGTCCCTCACCTACGGGTAGCCAACATGGTCCTGTGTCAGAACTAGACCCGGTAAGGGATCGTGAACAAGGGGAGATCGCCCAGAAGACACCCCTTCCTGATGAAACCGAAGATGATGACCTGATATGCGAAGGTCTTCATTGCCAAGATCTGGAATCCGAGTCTTTTGAACTCAATGACAGCCAAGCATGGCGATGTGAAGTCTTACTCACCGAGAGCGACATACAAGACTGGAGACGAGAGGAAAATCCTTTCGAATGTGCATTTCTTGCAACTGCAGCGAAACGCCAGAGATCGGAAGTCAAACTCTCGACACTGGACCACAATGAGAAGGCAGAGTTTCAGAAAGCAAAAGACCAAGAAATACAGAATTGGTTGCAAACAGGAACCATATCAAAAATTCTCCGCCATCAAGTACCACAGGATCAGATCCTAAGATGCAGATGGATTCTCACTTGGAAAACAATCGATGATGAAGAGAAAGAAAAACTAAAATTGACTAAGAATGTCAAGGCAAAGGCCAGACTTGTCATTTTAGGATACCTTGACCCCAAAATTGATGAAGTGCCACGAGATTCACCCACACTTGGAAGACACTCGAAAATGCTCCTACTCCAGTTGATTGCATCAAAAGGGTGGTCACTCAGATCATTTGATATTAAGGCCGCGTTTTTGCAGGGGAAAAACCAAAAGGACCGAATCCTTGCGATAGAACCGGTACCAGAAATTATCCAAATGATGGGATTGTCACCTCAAGAGATTTGCAAACTAGAAAAGGGTGCTTATGGTTTGGTGGACGCTCCATTTATGTGGTTCCAAGCAATCCTGGAAGAACTTTTGGGTTTAGGGTTTCAACAATCACCGTTTGATCCATGCCTGTTCATCCTCAGAGATTCCAACAGTGGGCAACCCGATGGCATTCTAGGACTTCATGTGGACGATGGGTTATGTGGCGGGAATGAAAAATTTCTCAAAGTGCTGGAACAGCTGGAGAAGAAGTATCCGTTTGGATCAAAAAGGGTTTCACAGTTCACTTTCACGGGAATTGACATGTCACAAAACACCAATGGTAACATTCATTTATCTCAATCCAAGTATGTAACCGCAATTGACCCAATTAAAATTTCCCTTGACCGCAGAAAACAATCAGAAGAGAAAATCACTGAAGAAGAAAGACAGTATCTCCGTGCATTGATCGGCAGCCTCCAGTATGCATCCGTGCACACACGCCCTGATTTGTCCAGCAGACTCAGTTACTTACAATCATCCATAAACAGTGCCACAGTTGAAACACTTAACAAAGCAAACCAAACTCTACATGAGGCTAAGAAACACCATGACGTCACCATCAAAATACAAAGTATTCCCATTCCTGATGTGAGATTTCTTGCATTCTCAGACGCATCCTTTGCTTCGAAGGGAAACCCAAATTCCCAAACAGGTACCCTTATAATGGCGACCCATAAAGACATTGGTCACAATACTACATGTCCGGTAAGTCCCATTTCTTGGGGAAGCAAAAAGATTCAAAGGGTTGTCACGAGTACACTTGCAGCTGAGACGACATCACTGGGAACCGTGCTGGATCAATTATCATGGATCCGTTTGTGCTGGGCGTGGATGTTGGACCCCAAGGTGCCATGGAAGAATCCAAAACAAGCTTTCAAAGACTTACCAGAAACATACACCACTGCAACTCTCAAAGCTCAACAACTTCCCGAAAGTTTTGCTGCGACAGACTGCAAAAGCCTGTTCGATCTCATCACAAAGACAGCCACACCAAGCTGCGCAGAGTTCAGAACTCAACTAACTGCGCGTGCCATCAAAGATCTCATTGCCGAAGGAGTGTCATTAAGGTGGGTCCATTCAGGAGCACAACTTGCAGATGCGTTGACGAAAATGATGGAAACGAATTTTCTTAGAGAGACTCTGAAATGGGGACACTATAAATTACACGATGAGCTTGAGGTCTTGAAAAATCGAGCAACAGCTCGAAATCGGCTGCGATGGTTGAAAGGAGATTCCTCTGACCATGCCTCTGGTCCGTGCAATGATGCTTGTTTTCTTGAAAGTTTTGACTTTTTGGGAGTGTGAATGTTCAACATCATTGCACTTCCTGTCATACAATCCAAACAAGGGGTAAACAACCAGAGTTCACAACCATAGCACATGCATGGCTCAGGAGTGCCCATAGCTGGCTCATTGATAAAGGATTTTTTTTTAAATCCTGTCATTTTATGGATCATAGATCCACAAACATCATAGGATCAGATGGCCTGAAAAAAGAAAAACATGATTTAACCAGGATATCTAAACTGGAAATCGTCCAACAAAAAAATCCAAATTATTCTTTTTATGGATCATAGATCCACAAACATGATAGAATCACGTGGCTTGAAAAAAGAAAAACATGATTCAAGCTGGAAATCGTCCAACAAAAAAAACTCCAAATTATTGTTTTTATGTTCTCGGGGAAAGGAAAGCAACTCAACATTGGTTTCTACTTTAGCATGTCTATTAATATGTTGATTTGTGTTTTTTAAGCATCTGGCAAATCAATAACAAAAACAAAAGTATGTTTGAAAACATTTTTCAATTTGTTTGGAGGTTTTAACATTTTGGCACTGTGCTCATACACATGACATGTGGCATGCCATTTTTTCAAAAGAAAGTATTGGCTAAGTCATGGTCATGCTAAACATTTTCAAATCAAACCTGTGTGGGGGGGGCAGGACGGACCAAAAAAGGCACTGTAAGAGTGCCAGGAGCTGTAAGAGCTTCAAAGGCTGTAAGAGCCTGGCTTTAAGAGCCTTAGAAGCTGTAAGAGCTTCATGGGCTGTAAGAGCCCCAAGGGCTGTAAGAGCCGAAAAAAGAGGCTGTAAGAGCCTATTACTAAAGGCTGTAAGAGCCTATTACTAAAGGCTGTAAGAGCCTCAGGCTGTAATGGCCTACCCAAGGCTGTAAGAGCCTCAGGCTGTGAGAGCCTTGAGCAGCTGAAGTAGTAGATGTTTCGCTAACATTCCGCATGTCTAAAACAAGTTGCAAAACCCATGCATGATATGTTCGTCAGTTCATGGTTCAGAGTCTTTGGGTTCAAAAGAGAAAGAGGCCAGACCAAACAACACGCCTTGTTGAAGGGACACATTGCTAACTATCAGGTATCTAACCACTAGTCCACAATCCATGCATTCATTCTTTCATTTTTCATGGTTCAGCCATTCACCCACCAGTTGGGCGAGCCATTCATTATGTTTCATCCCTTCTATCCAATCATTCGGCCCGATAGCTGGTGGGGGGCCGTCAGGCAGGGCACCTGCTGTTCTGGACATCAAGATATTATATATTTCACACAATGCTCTTACAGCAAAGGGTGTTACAAGATAACCCTGAAGAACCACTGTTTTGCCACCGGTTCTGTGACCTTTTTCCTTCTCCCACCGTTCAGGCGACTCTGCATGGCGGCCTGCCAGAGACAACAGCTGGGTTGGAGGCCCTAGCTGGTGGTGAAATTTACTTGAATGTTCAGTTTTTCATTATTGGATAGTCACTTGTTGGGGTTGTCCTGAGTCAAGGGTATGCATGAAAAAATGATGGGAAGTCACCTTTCTTCCTGTTGCATGTGGGGGTTTCTGGTTCCCTGACCCCTTGTTGGTACAACGCCTTTTGGTAGGCGCCTTCCCAGAAAAACACTTGCAAAAACCATGAAAAAAACGGTTTAAACAGCTGTTTGATTGAACCAAAGCACCACTTTCTGGGTTGTATTTCATTTTTAGGCTCGGATGATGAAAGGCGACTTCCCATAGCTTGGCTCAAAGTCAACAGCAATACCACTGAACATCCATCCAATCCATATACATGGCGAAAAAGGGAAAGAAGAAGGCTAGGAGCAGGAAAATGAAGCTGGGTCAGCGGGTGCTGTCGGGAAAAATGTGGAGCAACTGGAGGAACCATATTCTCAAAAATTCATCGACGTGGCTCTATGTGGCTGTCACTTTGACCCACGCTTTGTGCGCGCGTATCACTGAAGTGTTGAAACTGAAAGCTTCCGACTTCCATTGGACTGGAAGAACCGTGACCATCGCGGCTCTGAAACGTCAGCCACAGGCCGACTTCCATTGGACTGGAAGAACCGTGACCATCGCGGCTCTGAAACGTCAGCCACAGGCCGGCTAGTGAAATTGAAATAGGACCTTATATCATATACAAATTTACAAATATATACACATGTATATAATATAATATAGTATAATATAATATAATATGATATATATATATAAATACAATTTACATCGAATATAATACATTCGTATCATAACTATTTTTGTGCGCCAGGTCAACAAAGTGCTTCTGAACGCAATCCTTCCTACACTTCGTGGTTTGAAGAAGAATGGGAAGTCAGTTGCACGCAAGAGACGCTGTGGCGTGCGTGGCACAGTGAGTTTCAAGGACGCGTGGCGCTGGCCTACAGGGCAGAACTATCTCTTCCCAGACAGGACTGGGAAATCTCATATCAAGAAGGACGTAGTCTGCCACGCGCTTCAGAAAGTTCGAAATTCATTCAGGGCTATGGATTCCCACAAAATACGGAGCCATTCAGGCAGACATACCATGATAAATGTGCTGAAATCAGAAAATGTACCAGCTGACGCTGGCATGGCGTTTGCTCGCATTTCTCACAAGCGTACTTACGACTTGTATGGCCAGCTGAATCAGTTGCAAGCAGGCCAAACTTTGAATTCAAACAAACGTTTGAAGAAATCTTTGAAATCCGTCTACAGCTGAAGCATCGAGCCTGTGAAAATGAAGCCTATCGTCGCTGGGAGAGTGTTGCCACAAGACCTCAATAGCAAAAATCCAAAACTGTTGGTTACAAGCTCTTACAGCTCCATAGGCTCTTACAGCCTCTTTGAAGCGAAAGTAACATCGGCACAATGAAGCTGTTCAGCTCATTTTTTTCTCACAGATGGATCACCATTCAATTTCTGGATCACCAAATTCCGTTTTTTCTCACAAAGGATCACCATTCAATTTCTGGATCACCAAATTCCGTGATGCGATTCTTCAGGCTGCCAATTCCGTAAAATTCAGATGCTTCAGTTTCCAGGGATTCAGTCAGTCGATCATGTCCAGGGGATTCAGTTTACTAACGGCAGGCCCGAACAATCAGCACCTAAGCCTACCCCTACGAGCCTACGAGTACAACCGACGCAAGGCACTCTGCAGCTCGAGCTCACTGCACCAACAGGCGGCCATCCACAAAATCATCCGTGGGTGGCGAGGCTCCGTTGGTGGGTCCGATCTCCACACCTCGTTGGCTTTAGATGGGAGAGTTTTTGATCATCTAAAAACAGTGGGTTTTCCTAACCCCAAAACAGTGAGTTAATTGATGTCCAAGCTGCCATTGGCCAGGCTGTCGGGGTGAAGTGCAGGTTGTGGCGACGGACGTTCGCGTGAGGACAGCACGCAAAGTTGTACAGCCGGATCGACCAGCCAGCGCCGGCACGTTCTATCTGCCAGCCGCCTTGCATCTCCAGATGCAACCGGCGCGTCCGCCTAGGTTTTGCCATGCTAGCTGTGCACTAACAGCAAGTTCCGGGTTTCAGGGCCAAAAAACAACAAAAAAAATACGAATAAACAAATAAATAATGAATTTTGGCAAAGTTCTGTGTTCTTCTGAAGAATGACACGGTAGCGTCTTCCCACAAAATTAACCACTCCGCATCTCTGTTAGCTGCCAGCTGATCCTGGTACTTGAAAAGGAGACAGTGCCTTCGGACCAATGCGACGGCCATGCTGATGGCAGAGTGCACGGAGGACAGGAGCTGCGTGCTGCACTGACGGGTTTGGCCAAAATTTCTGCATTTTGGGTAGATTTATTCAACAACATTCCACCAACTGGTTGGAATCGTGGTTCATCAGGCTCTTACAGCCAAATAGCAAAGTTCAGATCAAGAGCCAAAGAAATAATTCCCACCAACTGGTTGAAGTCGTGGTTCATCAATTTCTTACATGCTATGGAAGCAGTAATCAACAATTCAAAACCATGAGGCTCTTACAGCCAAACGGCAGTTCAGATCAACAGCCACGAAGCAGTTTGAACTGAGGCACCCAGACCATTGATGGTCAAATGTGGGACATGGACCGGTCATTCCTGAGCCAAACAAATCTGAATTCGGGCAGTGACACTCACTCAGTGATCAGGGTTTGGTTTCAAGGAACTCTCGATACTCCTTTTTTTTTCCTCTTCCCTGTGCTGGTGGAAGGGTTCGTTTGCAAACACAAATAGATGGTGGAAAAGTTTTTACACACAGTGACATTACTTATCTGCCCGTAAGTCCTTTTGAAGTTAACTTTTTTCAATTCATTTGTTTCCACCATCCCTCTGTGTGCAGTACTGGCTGTTCCCTGATACCGATATGATATGCTCATATACCTGCCTGACACTGAAACTGCCAAGTTTTACAATTAAGATTAATGAACAATTGGTTGATTGCTGCACCAGGGATTTTTCAGCCTTGAAAAAATCGACTGCCTGTCTCAGTCGGAGTCGGCGCCCTTCACTTTTGCCTTCTTCTTTTTGCCGCTGTCCTTCAGATGCTGGGGGCAAAACATGCTGCACATGTGCTGAAGGAATTGCCTCTTCTAAGGCCAGGAGTCGTGGAATATAAGAACTATTTCTGTGGAAATATGGTGAAATATCATGAGATATTTTTTCATTTTGAGTTTTGTCGGGTGTCCTTTTCATCCTTTTTTTTTCCCTCTTTTTGGGCTTCTTCTCGTCATACTTCTCCTCTTTATCCTTTTCGTCTTCCTTCTTCTTGCCCTCGTCATACTTCTCCTCTTTATCCTTTTCGTCTTCCTTCTTCTTGGCCTGATCGCCGCCTTCCTTCTCTGGGTCCTTCAGGTGCTGAATGCAAAGCATAGGGCACATGCTGAAAGATTTGCCTTGTATAGGTCATGAGCCACGGAAAATTCTGTGGAAGTATGAAATATCCCATCACCTTTTTTTCCATACCGACGCGTCCACATGTAATGAGCCCAGCAGGACCAACATCAGCGTCACCTGAGCAGGCAAGTGGGACTGAGACAAATGGTACCAGGGTGCTGTAAAAGCACAAAAAAACAAAGTAAGACTGCAGGAAAAAGTGCTGTAAGAGCACTGCTACAATGGGTGGATTACCAGGGTGCTGTAAGAGCACAAGACATTTAAGTAGGACTGCAGGAAAAAGTGCTGTAAGAGCACTGGTACAATGGGTGAACCTTACAAACTATAAGAACACCAACACAAGCAACTAGTCCTGGTTGAAGTCGTGGTTGCAATGATCAGGCTCTGACAGCCATGGAAATTAAATTTCATCAGGCTCTTACAGCCAAACGGGCTCTTACAGCCGTGGATCGTAGCAATCTGAACTGAGGCGCCCAGACCATTGATACGAGCGAAATGACCTGATTAGTGCATGGGTGAAGCTTATCACAGTTGGTCTTGAAGCCGCATTCTTCCGTGTCTACAAGAAACAGCCGCTGCATCTTTTTCTAAATTGCCCATGTAAATCACAACCAGACACCATCATCACCAGTGCTTGCATCGAAGGCTATAGGCTGACTTGTGAGCCCTGCACTGTAAAACAAACGGTCCATGATTTTTGCAATCACTGGAACAGTGAAGGAGTTCCCCACCATGGCACGCATCTTTGCCTCTGTGACATCCCCCGGGCGCTGAAGTCTCCCAGGGTAAATCCCTTGCAATCGAAAATATTCACTCAAATGCAATTTTCGCTGCCGGCTGAATGACCAATATCCATTGCTTTCGCACCTACTCTTCGTCAGACAAGGAGCATAACCAATGCTGAAAGGGGCTGAACTTTGGCACCAATTGGAGCTCATGCCGATGTCTGCAATACCATCACATCTCATGGGTTGCCTCTTGTCTTGCAACTTCTTGTAGCAGGTGATGAGGTTGCGAATTTCGGTCTTGCTGTGAGGCCATACTGGTCCGCTGCCATCCTGAGGGTCCAAAGCAGATTCAAGGGACACAGGGGCCTGCGGTTCCGGCCATCTGAAGTCCCGGACAGGATCATGCACACCAACAATGTACAAACGATTTCGGGATTGGGCTACTCCATGGTCCTTCGAGTTCAGAACTCTTGCCTGCAGCTTGTAGTATGGTTTGCCACCAATGTCCTACCGAGAGCACAAGGTTCTTTTCCCCTGCAACACTGCAAATCCAAATTCAACACATGGTCGTGTTGAAAACCTGAAACCCATGAGATTTCACAAACCAAAGCAAGGTCCTTCAAAGCCTTGAGCACATCTCTGACCAATTCATACGCCTTCTTGAACTTCTGAAAATTTTTGACATTCTCCAACAAGAAGGTTCGTGGTCGTGTCAGCCGGATGCGCTGGAGAACATAGAGCAATACTTTTCCGTCCTCACTTTCCAAGCCATCACCCGTGCCCAGCACAGAGTACGGTTGGCACGGGTAGCCTGCTGAAAAAAAATCAACAGGGAGGTGATTGGGCACATCTTCTTGCACAGAGCGGAGCAGCGCTTTGGGGGCAAAGTTGCGTTGAAGCACGCTCCTGACTGCCACATCGGAATCACTCACCCATTCCTCCTGAAATGGAAGATTCAACGATTCCAAGGCCATAGCAGCTGCATTCAGACCAGTGCAATCTGAAGCTACGGACAGAACATCTTTCTGCAAAACACGGCAGCGACGTTTGGGCATCTTGAGTGAAAAAATTGCCCCTCAAACAAAGACTGTGCTCTCACAGCACATTCACTGACAGCTTAAATTCTGAGGAACCCCATGGCCAGTCTGATGCAAAATACAGCCAATGTCTTGGCCCCCAGCACAGACCCTCACGGATTGAAGCCTCAGTGAATGCGATGCGACATGCCTCAATGACATGACATGTGCCATTGGGTCGAAACTGGTGTTGCTGAAAGCTCTTACAGCTTCAAGACACAGGAGAAGTAAGGCCACCAGGACCCTTTTTTTTGACCTCAGGCACCCAGCCTGTCAGGACTTCTTGACATGAATCGCCAATTCGGTGCCGGATTCCATATCACAACTCTGTCGGGATTTTCATCGACAGACTACTGTGCTTTGTGATATTCTCAGTTGGCGCTCAGGGCTTGAGCAAATTCTATCTCCACCAACACAATGCAGGCGATTCAATATGATTCAATGTTCAGCAAGGAACTTTGGAGGGGGCTGCTCATGCCACTAAGCTCAGAATTTTTCATTGCCATTGAGGCAAGACTTACATCAGTACAGCGGCTAACTGTCCCATGCTGGCGCACTCTCAGAAACAAAAAAAAATAGGCAATTCTGTGTAGTGGACTGAATAGTTTTTGCTCCTCAACAGCACGGACAGTTCAGTCTCAGAATTGCGGCGATTCAATCTCAGCTCCCTCACTCGACGGCCGATGCGGCCAGCTTCTGCAGCTCCGCAAGCATATCGCCAGCCGTTGTCTCAGGCTTGGCCTTGGCCTTCGGTTTGCGGGGCTTCTTCTCAACTTGCCCATCTTGGCCATTGTTGCCGTCGATCTGGCCATCAGCACTGCCTGCTGGCTCTCCACCCTCTTCATCACCATTGACAGCAGAGAGGTCAATCTTGTTTTTCTCTTGCGAGAGGTCTTCTTCTTGGGCTGAGGCTGTGTCTCCTCTTCCTGCTGGTTGCTGTTTTTGTCCAAGATGACCTTGAGGGCAGGCGCAAACAGTTTGCTCTGATCGCTTTGCATCTTTTGGAATACACGGCCTTCAAGCCTGGCGGTGAGTGCCTGGCAGTGTTCGGCCGTGAATGCCAAGCCGAAAAATGGGATACGGCGCTCTAAGCACAGCTCCGCCATCCTCCCATCCCCAGCCAGTGCCACAACGGCCACGGGGTCGACGGCTTGGATGAGTTCCTCACAGAGCGCCGACGGCGGGCTGTGATACAAGAAGGGCTCCATGTCGTTCTTGTCCCTTGGTTTGCCTCCCTTGGCCCCAGACTCTTCCATTTCATCATCGTCACCTTCGCTTGCATCAATGTTGTCATCGTCGTCTTCTTTTCCACCCACGGCAATCCTTGCGCCATGCTTCCCCAGCAAGACCAACTTGTCTTTCATCTTCATCAGCCAGGCATCACTGTCCTGCTGCCATGAGGATGCCGTGAATGGACCTAGGAAATTTCCTCGGTTCGTGCCATTGGAGTGCAGCCTTTGGTGCTCATTGAGCTGCAATCCGTTCCTGGTGATCAGATGGATCCTTTGAATGTGGTTGATGGACGAGAATCCACGGACCTTGGCAAGCCTTTCGGTGATGCTGCTTTCTGACATGGTGGCTGTCCAGGTGCGAACTTGCTTCTTGCACGGTGCAGGCTTTTGAAGCTTGCCTGCTGCATCTGGCTCAGGAGCAAGGCAGAAAACACCAATCAACCTGCCTTTGTTTCCATCCTTGCCGCAGTCACACAAAGCATAGATGTCTCGTGGATCAAGGTCTTGGTTGGGGTCTTTTCGTTGCTGCACCAACCGCACGAATCTTTGGAGGTGGCCTCCGCGATTTCTGAGGCCAGGCACGCGCAAATGTGGCTGTACCTGAGCTTCGCCGGCATCGGCTTGGTCGTACCACACCAGTGTATGAGTCTTTTTTTCGGCATCTCCTGAAGCGCTGCCTGCCACCGACTGCTTCAAGCTTTCCAGGAGATCCTCATCGCTCTTTGTCTCAGGCTCCAAAACCACATAGGTCTTCACCAAAGATCGGGCCTGGGTCATGTGCCTTTCCAATCGTTGCAGATCCTCTTTGTCTTGCTTGTCCTCACTCGCTTGCAGCTCAGCATAGGTTGCCATCACGGTCTCAAAGGATTCAATGCCAAAAGCTGCTTTGTCCTGAACAAGGATGCTGCACACCACAATCAAAAGTGAACCATCTTTTGAAATTTTGGAGGGTGACCAATACAAATCATTATATAGTGAGCTGCCCCAGCCGTCCTCTCCAATTTCGTGCGCATCCGAATCAGCATTGCCACTGTCAGCACCCGGCTCGTTCTTGGACTCAGCACTGGTTTGCTTTTCCTCCTGGTAGCCAACAAAGAAACTTTCTTCAAAAAAAACATGCTCAACTTCACAGAAGAAAAGGTTCTTCTAGGTTCTTACTTTTAAAGGCTCTTCATAGGCTCTTACAGCCCTTGAAAGGCTCTTACAGCCATTGAAAGGCTCTTACAGCCCTTCAAAGGCTCTTACAGCCCTTCAAAGGCTCTTACAGCCTCACGACGTCTCACAACACCATATGCGCGGAGTCCTCAATCTTCTCAGCCACTTCGTCCAAGGACTCCGATAAAGGACTCATCTTCAAAAGCTCTCCCAAAGCTTTTTTGCTCCTGAGCCATGTGACAATGAGGTCGTCGTATGTGGTGCTGTAGATGCATCCATCCAGCACTGTGAGGAAGAGGTCCGCTGATGGTGGAAAAGAAGTCCGCCAGCCACAGGAAGGCTGCGTATCCATCGGCAACCAGGAGTATCCCAATGCTGCACGGTATGTTTCCAAGTCGACTGAAATCTCCTGGATCTTTTGCAACGACTGTCCCTGCACTCCAACCTCAGCAGCCCAGTTCAGAAGTTCCCTCTGAAAGTCCAACTTGGCCATGAAGACATCGCACAGCTTGCTGGACAGCTCCCTCTTGGAGCACTGGTCTGCATCCAATGCTCCTTTCTCAAACAGGTCGGCAAGCAGCAAGACCATCCACTCCAGTTTTTTGACACTTGAGGGGCCAGTGCCTGCTTTGCCCAGCATTGCAAACAGCTTGTGGATGGAATCCAGAGGGTTGTTGATGCCGTACACATCGTCGAGATACAGCAGCTTGGAAACCACCACCGTCGACTTGGTCAACATCCTTGAATTCACTGCCAGGGACCTTTCCACAAAACACTCGGTGACTTTTTCCGAGTAGTCCGACATCACCAGGTCCGAATTGTAGGTGTCGCTAACCTGTTTTGCCCACGAAACCTTGGGTCCCTTCTGAGCAGATTTTTTCTGTTTCTGCATCCGAGCTGCGAAGTTCACAATGTCCAAGCAGCGGCTGAGGCTTGAGTGGCGAATGAGTTCATGCTCAATTCCGCTCTTCTCCCTCAATTGGCAATTTTTGAAATGCAAAGTCGAATCCCTCTCCACAACCTCAAAAGTGATCAAGGTGTTGAGGATGATGTTCCTCCATTGCAGCAGCTTGTCATGCTCTTCGTTGATGACATCGCGATGCACTGCAATGATGAATGAGTGCAGTGGCTCCGCTGGACTCACCCGGCGAAGGAACCCGGGTGCTGGGACCACTTGATGCCTGCCATGGCAAAAGGATTGTGGAACCCCAACCACCACCTCTGAAATCAAAGGCTTCGGAACATTGTAGTAGCGCTCTGCAATCTCACTGCATTTCCTGGTTTTGATTGCAGTGTGAGCGATCGCTGGGTCCAAAGCCAAGTCCACCCAGAAGAAGTTTCCAGCCCCCGAAGCTGGCCTGGGCCAAGATGCAATCCAACTGGGAAATGCCAAAGCTGAGACGTGTTTCTTGCAATAAACTTTGTGAAGCAGAATGATATTATCTCTACAATAATGACATGTCCCTCAGAACTTGACAAGTAACAAGTATGTTTGCAATGACAAGTATGTCTGACTCTGAGTTTTTGGCCCACTGTTTGCACGAAGTGTTGACTGCACGGATTTCCAGTTCACAGGGACGTACTTTCCGGCCACAGCATCGCTTGTCATCACATCATGCATGATCGGGTGGGCCTTGATCCCCTCCACACACTCGTGGATGTAGGCCATGTGCTTGGCATTTGCAGCTGCAACCGCCGGCATCGTTGGTGCAGAAGCACAAGGTGCCAAGACTTCGTCTGCCATGACTGACCAGAGCAGGAGTCGCAGAGTCAGGTTTGAAAGCTAGTTGGCTGAGGATTTAAAAAAAATACGTCTGCAGGTCAAGAGGGCTGGACCAAAGTGAGGGGCCCGATCATTGATTCAAATTTCAGGACCGGTCCTGAAGTTTGAGAGGGCACCCCCTGACCATTGAGGATTTAAAAAAAATCCGTCTGCAGGTCAAGAGGGCTGGACCAAAGTGAGGGGCCCGATCATTGATTCAAATTTCAGGACCGGTCCTGAAGTTTGAGAGGGCACCCCCTGACCATGGTTGGGTGATGTTGAAACAAACTTCGGGAACCCTGCTCTTTTTTCAACATTACCCAACCATGGTCAGGGGGTGCCCTCTCAAACTTCAGGACCGGTCCCGAAGTGGGAGAGAAAGTCGGGTGGCCGACGCTGTCTCAACATCATCCGTCCTACTTTTTCAAACGTCTCCACAAATTGAAACAATGGAAAAAAGGCTCTTACAGCCTCATGAGACACCCAAAATTCACAATGTTGTATCGACTTCGTCCGTACTTACTTGTTCAAAACGCGGCTTGCAACAATGGGAAAAGGCTCTTGCAGCCTCATGATTCGCAAGTTTTGCTCCCAATGAGTTTCTGAGAATCCGACTGGACTCTGCACTCAGTCAAGAATTGCTTCACCTCAATGTGAGCATTTTTGGCAACTTGGTCAATTTGAACATTTTTTGGTCAATATCAGTTTCCATTTGGTTTTCCATTTGTTTTGGTCGATATCAATTTGAGAACATTTTTTGGTCAATATCAGTTTCCATTTGGTTTTCCAGTTGTTTTGGTCGATATCAATTTGAGAACATTTTTTGGTCAATATCAGTTTCCATTTGGTTTTCCAGTTGTTTTGGTCGATATCAATTTGACAACATTTTTTGGTCAATATCCGTTTTCCATTTGGTGTTCCATTTGTTGTGGTCATTCAGCACAAATGCACAATTTTAACATTTCAATACGTTTACAAACTATAAAAGTGACATTTCTCATTTTGCATCATTTTTGCCCTTGTGTCTTTCTATTGCTGTCTCCCCCGTTGTTGTCCGAGAGCCTTGCCGGGCGCTCCAAAAAGGGCCTCAGGGGGGCACTATGGGACGCTTTTGTCCTGCAGATACTGGCTTGCAGCGCTCCAATCTTTTTGACTCCCCGTGATTCCCTGAGTAAATGTAAAGATCACTGCGCACAGTGAAACAAGCGAAGATCATTGTACAAAATATCCTCCGAGATTTTTCACACGGAAAAGAAATTGTCCATCTTGACATCTTCACAGCAAGGTTCCATCTTCACATCTTTGAAGTCATGGCTCGCATCTTGGAAGACAGAGCCAGGTTCCATTTTCACATTTTGGAGATCAAGGCCAGGTTCCATCTTCACACGAGTGGAAGAGAAATCGTCGTCATGGGAAGGTTCCACCTTCACATCCTTCAAGACCAGACCATCCCTGCACCCAGTTTCCACCCTGACATGGAGGCCGTTGCTTGCATGAGCAATCTTGACAGGGTTCGCACCCATGGAAATTGTCAAGGCTCCTGCCATGACGTCTCCTTCACTCTCGTCAGACTGAATGGGACCTTCGCAGATCTTCAAAGGCACTGGGATCTTTGCAGGTTCGCCAGGTAGGGGAATTTTCAGAGGTGTGGAGCAACATCCTTCCACCATCTCCGCATGGAGAAGCTTGCGCTGCAACATGGCATCCATGACAAGGATCATTTGGCGAGACACTTCTGCCTTGAGGGCTTCCATTTCACAAAGTCTCTGGTAAAGGATCGAGCCATCCATGGTTTTCAGCTGATCTGGGGTGAAGGCACCATCCAGATTTGCGATGCAGTCCGAGGGGCTGTCTCCATGACCCAGAACTCTTCCCACAAGAGGACCAATCCCTGCTGCTTCTTGAGCTGCCAAACGGCTGGAAGCCTGCAGAGCAAGCTCTGCGTCGGAGGCCAATCCATACAGCCATTCATGATTTTTCGGCAATTTCTGATTGCACTGACGTTGGAATTTCTCTCTTTGCGAACGCAGCAACTTTTGCCTGTCAGAGCGCTGGCGCTTGTTGCTATCGCATGGAACAGCAAGTTGAGACATGATCGGGTTGTGGACTCGGAGTGACCAGGGTTCGCTCCCTGAAGCTTGGCTGAGAACAGCTATTTGGATGAAAGGGTTGCTGAGGTCAAAGCGCAACGGAAAAAAAACAGTGAGGCTCTTACAGCCCAAATTGAACACAACTATTGCAAAAGGCTTCCAGATTCAAGGCAGAGAGAAAAACAATTGCGAGGCTCTTACAGCCCAAATTGAAGACAACCATTGCAAAGGTTTCAAGTTCTTCAGACAAATCTTTTGAGATCCAAACTGTCTCAGTGCAGGACTTGCTCCAGCTCGAAGGCCAAATGACCTCAATGTCGTCATTGAGCATCAAAAACCATCACATGCAAGTTCTGTTTTCAAGTTTTGAAAGTAATACATCATCCGATCAACTTGCTGCTTTCTCTCTTCACCGCACTGTCGCAACCCAAAGCTGACTGACCACACAGGTCATAGACGAAGGCATCTAAAACTGAATTCTTGACTAACAATGTTCCGTATGAAAATTTGGTTCTTTCACAGAACCATTCTCATGCACTAAAATTCAAAATCAAATCAAGATCCACGGCGCCCATCCAAGCCATGAGCAGACCGCATTGGATCAACAAAAATTAACTTCTGTGCAAGATCATCGCTCGTCAAAAACAGCTTGACTTCACTGAGCTCTCCCTGCTTGTCTGCAACAGTTCCGAAAACCATCACTTGCGTGTGTTTTTGGTCCCTTGTCGCCTTTCGCTTGGCTTTCAAGAAATCATCCAAGTTGCCCTGGAAGATCCAGCCTGAAGTTCCTCGAAAGGGCTTGCAGTAGTGCATGATGTTCTGAGCAACCTCCTTGCAATCTCTGGCGAATCGTGGGGTGATGTAGATGGTGCGCGCAATGCTGGTTGCTGACTTGTGGAGCAGGAAGCTGCCCCTCTGCCCACAGGACCTGAAACAAAGGATGTCGGACCAGTTTCCCATGGAGGCCAGCTAGCAACTTATCCTCTTGCGACTGTGGCTCTGTGACCTCTGTCCAAATGTGCATCTCTGCCTGATACTTGGATTCCTCTGGCACCAACCCCATCTTGCGACTCAAACGGTGCAGTTCAAACTCGCCGACAGCAACCTGAACAGCTGCACCCCACCAAACTTTCAAGCCTGCCACGTTCGGGAAAGAAGGTCTGGTCAAGGAGAGGCGACGGCTCTTCAATGCTTCCTGGCAGAGCTCTTGATCATGCTGCTGCCGTTGACGAAACCAGTCTTGCATGGCCGGGCTCAAGCTGTCCCAAGGCACAGCTCCCTCAGCAATTGCCTTCATCAACCGGCCCAAAAGCTTTGTTTCCAAAAAAAAAAATCTTTCTCATGCCCTTCGCCCCAGCCGTTCACTCCAACAGACCCCATCACAGGGTTCACTGCTTCTGACAAATTCACTGAACCTGCGGCAGCATCAACCTCTCGACGCCGCTTCCTCATGAACGCAGCTTCCGAGGTGAATCTTGTCCTTGTTTTCTTCATCATCTGGCTGAGTGCGCTTGCGTCCTGCAAATGCCCAAAACTTGACTGGAGATGTGGCTCTTACAGCCACCCCTATTATATCTTGGGCTTGCCACCTCTATACAGCTCTTACAGCTATTTAATGGCTCAGCTGAAAAAACAAAACAAGGCAACAGCAGGTCCTTTCGAATCTTCAGGAACCTTCTGTCTGTTTCGAGGTGGACCATAATGATTAGTCCATACAGCTCGAGCAGACTCAATCAGATCACTGTACTTGGGCAAGGCGACAGGTTTCCCTTTGCTGGCTTTGTTCAAGGACAACAGCTGTAGCTCGTCGTCCAGACGATTCTCTCCTACGTCTCCTCTTTTTCTCGCAGCATGAAGGCCCTTTGCAAAAGCTCTCTCAACACCAGTAGTATTGATTTGCCAGGAGAAAAGCCTGATCAATGCCGCTTCCAAAGTTTTTTTCGGAGAGGCCTGCGTCTTGTTCTTCAAGTGGGCAGTACGCCAAGCATCTTCAGATGACTTGCTCCCGCCCTCCAGGAAGTGCCACTCTGCACTTGGCCTCATGTCAAGGAATTCTTGACAAAAGCAGTCTGCATCAAGCTCTAAGAGGTTCGCGAGGCACTTCACATCTTTCATGTTGGGAGTAGCATCCAAAGAGAATATCCTGAACAACTGCAGGGATTCAAAGTGGGGCATCTCGGCACGAACAGTCATGCGCACAAGTTCAAGCCAGTTCTGCATCCTTTGAAAACATCTATCAACAACATCAGAGGAAGGAGTCTTGATACTCCTGACTCCTCCATCAACAAAAATGTTGCAAGGTTTCTCCAATGTCTTCATCATCAATGCCGTGTAGCCCGTCTGCATAGCTCCCCTTTGTGCTCCGAAAAGCCAGGTGCATTTCTGCAGAAACTTGTGCATTCGCAATGTGATGTTGGCCTTGGAATAGGTATCCTGGTCGAAATACCTATTCACCTCCATTGTCTCATCCGTTGCATCTGCCACCAGGGCCAATTGAAAGGCTGACTCTGCCGTCACTGTATTCAGCCACTCTCTGGCCAACTGGCCTTCATTGGAATTTTTCCCTCTCTGCTCCAAGATCCATTGGGCCACCCTCAACAAGGGCTGGAAAAAAAGCACAGCTCTTCGGAATGGCTGCGCTGCACTCACGAATCTGTGTTTGGCGCAAGCCAAATCCCGAATCCGTTTGGCGGATGGGCCTGACAGTTCCGCGACAGCTTCCTGAAACCTTTTGCGGAACACTCCTGAGAAGCGAATTTTTTGTGCAATCGCCCTGGGGCCAATGACCAAATCCCGGACAAGCTTGTGGATGTAGGGGTCTGTGGGCCAAGTCCGGCTCAACAACCTCTGAGATGCATGGGCTTTGTCAAACTGCACCAGTTTCAGTGCAGGAAACCATCTCTTCAGTAGCTGGCCTGATCTTTGCTCATCGAAAGCTCCATCAGCACCAAAGGCTTCAGTACACTCTTTCACATGTCGAACCAGATCACGATCAAGGGCCGCTGTTTCATTTGCACAGTCACGCACAGGCATACCCAACCCAGTTGTCGCGAACTTGTGCAAGATGAAGACAGATGCTTGAGCGATGTCTTTGGAAGTCAATCCAAAACGCTCGTTCAAATCACACTGCCCCAAATGGCCAGTAGTCACCTTCAGGTTGTGGTCAACAGAGACGAAGCTGACCAGCAGCTGGCCATCTCGCACATCCTGCTGCCAGCAAACCGAAGCAGAATTCTGTAATGAGGTTCGGAGAGCAATCCGATGCGCCTGCCAGGAGAGGTGTGTAATTTGTGGGTGTCTTAGATGTTCTTATTGGGTTCTTTCATCTTAGTTTCTCGTAGCAGCTACACTTGAATGACATGTCTAATTTTTGGAGCCCATGCCCCATGCCTCAGCCAAACACCACATCATGACACGGCACTTCCAAGGTCCACTCTCCTTCAGCTCTGCTGCACCCCGCCAGACAGATTCCAGACATTCAGCAAACTGCTGCGCCGAAGGGGCAGCAATTGGAACCCCGCTGGATTTGAAGCTCTCCGATCGGGAAATGTGAGCTGTCGACCTCTCGTGCTTTTGGAAAACTGATGTCTGGGCAGTCTTGATGGAGCACTCTGCGAAGCCATTCTTGTCACGTTGGCTTTCAGGGGCGTTGCAGCAAATGGTGCATCCTAGTGATTTCACCTTGCCGTCCTCCTCCACCACAATGAGCCATGGAAATCTTGATGTCCAAACGAAGGAATGCTTCACCCACAAAGCATCGAGGCCCTTCAAGCACGTCTTGCCATGACCCTTTGAATCCCTGGAAGTGGACAGCGGCATCTTGAACACAAATGTGCTGGCAACGAAATCAATGTAACATTGAGCTCTGACAGCTCGCAGCCACTATGAACCTTGAATGACAGAAACTCAATGTGACCGGGCTCTTACAGCCCTGAGAGCTCTCAACCATTTGGGGAGCCAGCACTGCTTGACTGCTACCTCCGCTGCCTGACCAGATAGCTAGGCACCATTGCAATGGATGTGCCCACGGACATGTTGACAATCAATGTCTTGTGGGGATAAAATGTATCAGCCCAGCCTGGTTCCGCGTGCCCCAGCTGCAACAACTACAGAAGACCTCTCCAATTGCCTGCCATGGATGGATGACTGACGTGACTGGAATGCTGGAAAAGGCTTCCAAATTCAAAGCAGAGGAAAAACAATGAGGCTCTCACAGCACAAATTCAACTCAACCATCACTAAGCCTTCAGGTTCTTCCGACCAGAAGAAAGGTTTCTATTCCCAACTGTTAGACAAGTCTTCCAGATCCAAACCATTTCATCCAAAGACGTCCTCCAGCTCAAAGCGCGCATGGCCTCAATGTCACGGAATGTTCTGTTATCAAATTCATCATCTGATTCGCTTGGGTGTTCAAATTTTCGAAATAATCAACCAGGAAGCATCGAGACTTTTCAAACTCCCCTCAACGTGACAGTGAGCCCTGACATCCCTGACAGCTCTCAACCGCTGTATATTTTTATAAAGTCATACTTGGTTCTTGCAGCCCTGACAGCTCTGAACCATTTGGGGCGCCAGCAATGCTTCCAGCAGATGACCGCAGCTTCGCCCGCCACTACACAAATCACAGCTGCAGTCAATCCAAAGTTCAATGACAATGAACATGCCGATGGACATGTTGACAATCAATATCTTGTATTTGCCTGGTTCATGTCTCTGCCACAACAACCAAAGGAAACCGTAAATTGCTCGAAAACTGCAAATCCGCATGGCATCGTAATTTCCGCCCCATACCTGGTATCTATTATGTAATTTCCATGACTCATGACCAGGGCTCTTACAGCCCGAAACATATAAGAGTTCTTGCAACTCTTTGAGGAGGAGTGAGTCAAAAGTCCTTGGCGTCTTCTGCTGACATTGCCTCCTGTTCCTGCCAAGGCTGGAAACAGAGCGACACATCTAAACTGAATGGGAATGAGGCTCTTACAGCCCTGCGAGCAACAACGAGAACAAAAGCCAGGGGCTGGAAACCAAGTGTTGTCAGCATGTCTACAAATCAAAACCACATGGAACTCGTATACAACCTTGCCAGCCACCAATGAAAGGAAAAGTCCTTGTCGCTCTCTGTTCTCGCAGCCTTCTTTGATTCCTTCCAGGGACTGGAAACCAAATTATATCAACATGGCAATACATGTGAGAAGAATGGAAATTAAGGGTCTTACAGTCCTTGGAATCCTCTGCACCAGATCGTCGCATCGACGCTTTCTTTGCTTCCTTCCAGGGGCTGGAGGCCAAGTGGAGTTAGCAAATCATGGGTTGCGACGCTGTCCTCCTCAATGATCCTCTTCCTCAATACTTTCGCTTCTTCAAGGAGTTTTTCCTTCGCCGTTGCCTGCAATGAAACGAAAAATAAATCATGTATGTTGGTTGAAAAACGGGAGCGTTCAAATTCAAACAACATTCACAGGCCTGCTGCTCTTCTAATGCATTCTTCATTTGCCTGATCTTGAACATCTCCATGTCCTGTCAAGGCTTTAGAGGGGGCAGCATGGACATGTCAGCAACGCATCACATTGCCGGCCTGCCACTCCTTGAACAATGCCTCATACTTCTTCATGGCCCGATCTTCCCACTTCTTCTGGGCCAGTTCCTGCATAGTCTATGTGTGTGTGTGCGCTTGCAACAGTGTAATTGTGTGTGTGTGTGTCTGTGTCTGTGTGTGTGTGTGTCTGTGTCTGTGTCTGTGTCTGTGTCTGTGTGGGGGGAAGAATACTAAAACCCGGCCTCTATCTTCTGTTTCTCCTGCAGCCACCACTCTTTCCAGGCCCTCGCATTATTGGCCTGAAAGAGATAAACATGGCGTGAAGGAGATAACCATAGGGCTACACACACACACACTCACATGGCGGGCAGGCCTTCTCTATTTCGGCGGTTTCTCTGTCTTTCTCAGCCTTTTCTTTCTCTTTTTGGGCCTGGATTTTGTCTTTCTCAGCCTCTTTTTTGTCTTTCTCAGCCTGGGCAACCTTTTGCGAAGCCCATTGCTGAAAATCCTTCCATTTTTCTTTATTCTCCGGGGCCTAGGGTTCAAAGGCGCCCAAGCTAAGTGCACATCAATCCTCAAACTGAATTCTATGTTTTCATTGGCTGAACTTGAATATTAAAACAATCTCCTGCCTGGTTTTGAGACTTCAGGGCAGCCTGGTGCCAATGGTCACGCTCTTTGAGCAGCGTTGCCGCCTGCCAGCATTCCACGAGAAAAATAGCACTAATTACGCCTAGTTTTTTTGCTCTTACAGCATCATTCATTCAATGAATCCAATAAGGGTAAGTTGAGAATGCGGGCCTGGTTGTTCAGCGCTGACGCTTGGCACTGCAGCTGGTTTGCCTGCATGCCGTGAAACAGTGACACAGTAGCGACCAACCCACCTGGTTTTTGACAGCATGGTTGATCGATGGGTTTTATGCATACTCCTAAGCAGCATGATTCCCAAGCAGTGCCTGCTTCTCCCACTGCGTGCAGTTGGCCAGGGCTGCTGCAGCCTCCCATGTGCACAATATCTCTCACCCGGCCGTCCGACAAATGCGCCAACCTGCCTGGGTTTGCGAGCTTTGCAGCTGCCCTTGGAGGTTGGTCTTCTCCATGAGGAGGGCTGATACTCGCGACGCCGCCTGCAAGCAGTCTTGTGCATGAACATGCATGAACACAAGAATAACTGGCAAAGTTTGATGCTCTTACAGCACCGCAATCTTCTGATTGCAATACCACATTTCCCATAAATAAAACCCTCTAGACTTGGCAATCAGTTGGATGCTCTTACAGCATCAGAATCACTGACAACGTCACCCACCCCAGCCTGTAGCTGCGTCGTCAGCAACTCCTCGCTGAGCTTCTTGGCAGTCTCGCACACTTGCCAATATTTGACCAATTCCAGCTGCATTTGGCCATGTTTTCGCCTTTGCGGCCCCAGGGTCAGGAACATGTCACTGAACCACTTAGGCGGACACTGCCCCTGACCCTGGGGACCGCCTCCTGCCGCGGCTTGCTCGCCGCTGGGGGCCACATGGCCGGCGCTTGGCATTGGCCCATCATGGGCGGGCATTGGCGGTGCCGGCTGCATGACCTTCGGTGTCAGCGGCATGACCTTCGGCGGCATCTTCGGCGGCATCTTCGGCGGCGTCTTCGGCGCATGGGCGCCCTTCGGTCCGCCCTGCGGCGGCGGGTGCTGCTGGTCATTGCCAGCCATGGTGCCGTCTTGAAAATCAAACAGCAGCGGATGTCATGTAGTCACACATTGCGAAGCTCTTACAGCCTACGCAATGTGAACTCTTACATGCTCTTACAACGGTTGTTTCAAAATATCATGTCATGTAGTCACACATTGCGAAGCTCTTACAGCCTACGCAATGTGGGTTCTTACATGCTCTTACAACGGTTACCGATCATGTCATGTTTCAAGATGCTTCATGTTTCAAGATGCTTCAGATGCTACACTCCACAGCACCAAATTTAATGCATTGAAGGCTCTGCTCTGAGCCCACTTGCCCGAATCCACAAGCCTGGGCCTGAGCTGGAGAAAAGGCGACTTCCCAATGCATGGTATTGTTGGGATTTTTCTGGGAAGGCGCCTACCGGGCAAAAGGCGTTGTACCAACAAGGGGTCAGGGAACCAGAAACCCCCACATGCATCAGGAAGAAAGGTGACTTCCCATCATTTTTTCATGGATAACCTATGTGAGGGAACCAGAGAGCCCCACGAACACTAGGAAGAAAGTTAGGTGACTTCCCATCATTTTTTCATAGGTACTGCATTGAACCTGAGCCCCTACTTAAAATTCAGAACGCGCATGCCACAGTGAAAAACTGAACTGTCAAGCAAACCCCTTTATCAAGAACGCTGGGGCCTCCAACCCACTTGTTGTCTCTGGCAGGCCGCCATGCAGAGTTGCCTGAACAGTGCGAAGAGCAAGAAAAAGGTCACAGAATCGTTGGCGAAGTGGTGACTCTTCAGGTGTATTTTGTCATATCCTGTGCTGTAAGAGCATAGTATGTTAACATGACATTTGGCGAGAGCTGCAGGTGCCCTGCCTGACAGCCCCCCACCAGCTACAGGGCTACAGGGTTGAATGCTGGAATGTATGTGAATGGTTGAATTTTGAAACATGAAAGAGTGAAAGGATGAATGCATGGATTGGTTGGATAGAATGGCTGACAGTTAGCGAGGTGTTGCCAATCAATATTGCCCTTTTAAAATATTGTTTCCGTTCATGCCTTGGTTTTTCAACCCGGGACTCTGAACCAAGAAATGAAAAACATAGCATGGATGATTTTTTGCAACCTGGTTTGGGCAGGTGGCAGGCAAGGCTCTTACAGCCTTCGGCTCTTACAGCCTTTAGTAATAGGCTCTTACAGCCTCTTTTTTAGGCTCTTACAGCCTTTGGGGCTCTTACAGCCCATGAAGCTCTTACAGCTTCGAAGGCTCTTACAGCCAGGCTCTTACAGCCTTTGAAGCTCTTACAGCTCCTGGCACTCTTACAGTGCCTTTTTTGGTCCGTCCTGCCCCCCCCCACACAGGTTTGATTTGAAAATGTTTAGCATTACCATGACTTAGCCAATACTTTCTTTTGAAAAAATGGCATGCCACATGTCATGTGTATGAGCACAGTGCCAAAATGTCAAAACCTCCAAACAAATTGAAAAATGTTTTCAAACATATTTTTGTCTTTGTTATCGATTTGCCAGATGCTTAAAAAAACACAAATCAACATGTTAATAGACATGCTAAAGTATAAACCAATGTTGAGTTGCTTTCCTTACCGCGAGA